TGTTATCTCTGCAGGGTTTTCTCGGCTGTCCTTGTCACAGACGCAGATGGCCATGCCTGTTTCCTCTGTGGGGCTTGGGTGGGCTTGAACCACCAGTCTTTTGGTTGTCAGCCAGGCTTGAGTCTTTGGTGCTGCCCATGGGCCTCATTGGCTGTGATTGGCATGCGCATGTCACGATACCCATCGTGTACAAGGCATCTTTAAGCCCTCTCATGTGCCCCCACGTGTGTCAAAGCGCAGTTGCTGTGTGGGAAAGACCCTTGCTGGTCAGAGGCACTCGTGTCCATGCTGGCCTTGACTCGGTCTCTCTGATCATCACCTGTCTCACGTGGCCTTGACTGTCCTCTGCGGCTGTGCCATTACCGCAGGCCACCTAAAGAAGCAAGCCCAGGAGCTTTGCAGTTTACATTGGGGGAGCACAAGGGGCCTGACACTGGAGGAACGCCCCGTGAGGTGTCATTGTGAGATCAGTCTGTCTGGTTAAGCAGCCCCTGCCCCCCTTCCGTGAGCTGCGCACAAACCATGATGCAGAAGCAGAGACAAAGCAGAGACAGTAGTCTTGGCTCATTGCCTGGCATGCGAGACGGTGAGGCTCACCTAGCCACTAATGCTCCAGTGAGAGGGATGCCAGGGACTGTGGAGGCATTGGCAGCGCAGGTCCTGAACGCATCCCGAGACCCTGCTGAGGAGGGAGGGCATCCTCACAGGGCTCAGTACTCAACTGCTAACAGCAAGGTTGGTGGTGCAAACCCACCACTCCTCTACTGGGTTCATAAAGATCCCAGTCCAGCAACCCCGGGGGCCGTTCCCTGCACCCTGCGGGACTCTCTGGCACAGAGTCAGCTTGGTGGTGGAAGGGGCCCAGGGATAAAACTGAGACCTGGAGCAGGCATAGTCCAAGAGCACATCTGCGGTCACCCTGTCAGCCTTGTGCAATTCCAGCAACAGCTCTGTCACCATGACTCTACAGCGGGGCCCCTGTGGTCGACGGTTACCGCATGGGCTCTGTGGGTGCCCTCAGCAGGGAGACGTGAGTGGTCATACTAAGCCCTTGCCAGGCTGTTGTAGCCACACAGCAGATCCTAAGCCAGATTCACACCCACATTCGTGTGTAGTCTATGGGGATACCCTCACCAGACACCAGACACACACACACGGCCAACCACGGGCTCTCTGGAGTGTGGAGGGCGAGTGTACTGGCATTGGGGCTTTACAGGAGCTCCCTGCTGTGCCAGGCCGAGCCCCCCGGCCCTCCTTCCCAACGGACTCTAGTCAGCGAAGCAAGTGACTAGGACATTTTCTATGCTGGCTATGAGACTGGAGCCACTGGGTGGCACAGGTGGATAAGTCTTCATTAACTGACTCGACTGACTCTTGAAATCCACCAGAGGTGCCTAGAAGGATGGGCTGGTGACTTGCTTCCCAAAGTCACAGCCATGAAACACGAGCACAGTTCTCCGACACACCTGGGCTCGCCCCACGTAAGCATTGGCTTGATGGTGCTGGTGGTACTGGGATAGCCTTGCCCCAAACCTCCCACATCTTTGCTTTACCTGCCTAACTGTGTCACAGCTCTATGTCATTGCCAGTGTGTCCACTTAGGTGCCCTTGACAGATGGGGCTGCCATCACGCTACCACCTCCACATGGGGTTCCTATTTGGCTAATGGTTGGTGATGCATCTCTGTGTCCAGTCTATAGCCGGTGTCTCTAAGGGCATCTTTCTCCCTCAGAGCTGGAGGGCCGCCCCTTGGCCTCTCCTGCCCTGACCTTCCTACTCATGGCTGCAGATCCGCTGGAAGTACATGATTGTTGACGAAGGCCACCGCATGAAGAACCACCACTGCAAGCTGACCCAGGTCCTCAACACGCATTACGTGGCCCCCCGCCGCCTGCTGCTGACGGGCACACCACTGCAGAACAAGCTCCCCGAGCTCTGGGCGTTGCTCAACTTCCTGCTGCCCACCATCTTCAAGAGCTGCAGCACCTTCGAGCAGTGGTTCAACGCCCCCTTTGCCATGACTGGAGAGAAGGTGCGTGTGTGCCGGCCAGGGCAGAGGGCCCGGGACCTAAATGAGGCATCCCAGAGGGAGCTGTGCTCACATGCATGGTTCTGGGGTACAGTGGTGGAAGTTGCCACGTCTTCATCTTTTGGAGAAGGGGCTTCTGGAGCTGGAAGAGCTGCCAGGTGTGAGGAACAACAGTTGAGCGGCAGGTGCAGGAGGCAGCTGGGGGACAACGGCCTGTCTGGCGCCTGGAGAGAGTAGGGTCACCCCACGACAGCCAGGGGCTTGGGAGGTTTCATGAAAGAAAGCAGCGTTTCTTTTTTTAATGAAGGTATCTCACGAGGTTTTGGGTGAAAGTTTACATAACAAGTCAGGTTTCCTTGTAACAGTTCCATGCGATCTGTTCAGTAGCGTGGGCTACATCTGTCACAGGGCATCAGCTTCCTCATGATGTCCGTTCTGGTTGTTCCTTTCCCAGGAATGGCCTTTTACTGACCCCTCTGCCCCTTGAGTCAGTGCTGACGATTAGGTCACGTGGAGGTGCTCATGGGTGATACTGTATGTTTTACGGGCCTGCCTGCCACTTAGCTCAAAGATGGCTTCACAAGATGGTTTTGGTTCAAGGTTTAATTTGTCTGTCTCTTGGGGTGATAGTCTCAGGGTGCCCTCCAGTCCCAGCCGGTCCGCCAAGTCTGGACCTGGGAAGAATTTGAGTTCTGGCCCCCATTATGCTCCTGTGTCCCTGATGAGAGTGCTTGTGTTTGTTTGGCTTTGTGTCTAAGCGTGGTAGGCCTCTGGGTCTTGATGTCTCTGTAGCTTCAAGGGCGCATCAGTCTGAGCACTTAGCTGCCCAGGCTCCTCCACACCCACATTGAAGCCCTGAGTCTTAGGGCCCAGACCTGCATGTGGGCTGAGGTGGTTTCTCTCAGTGGACAGGCATGGGGCAGCTCCCTGCCCACTAGGGCCCACTTCACAGGGTATCCTTAGAGCTAGGACCACACCATGTGCATGGTGATGGGGCAGGGAGCCACAGCATCGGTGAGGTCCCTATCCTTTCAGTAGAACTGGGAGCAGACGCTCAGGTGTCTTTGGGTTGAGAGTTAAGTCAAAGCTCCCTCCGCCTAGTGATTAGCAGGGGCAGAGCGAAACTGAGAGCCCCGGAAACAGCCCAGAACCAAGCTCACCGCGGTGACTCAGCTCACAGCCAGACAGGAGATGGGTCCACAAGGTACACAAAAACACCAGGGAGATGTGCACTCTCATGAGCCCCGATGCCACTGTGGGTTAAGTGCTGAGCGATGGTGGTCTCTGCACCCCAAGGGTTATCTGTACCCTGTCCTCCAGGGTTGCTGTGAGCCATCCCCGAGAGCAACAACCCCCCGAGGTTGGCAGGGACAGGAAAGGGGACCAATGGAAATGGGAAACTGGAAGGAAGTAGAGAGTACTGTTGCATTGTGGGAATTGCTGTCAGTCACACACCCACGGAAAACCACGTGAACGGTTGCATGGAAAGTCAGTTTGCCATATGAACTGTCACCCAATCAAAAGCTAGGGACCGAGAGAAAGAGAAACGACTGGGGTGAAGGAAGTTCAGGCATGGCCTGTCTTTTCCTCACTTTGTTGCTGTTGACTTAAATTCCTTCCTGAGCAGGGGTGGGCGCCCTGGAAGCAGTGTTTCTTTCAGTGCCTGACCCCGGGCTGTGAAAGGGCAATGAGTCCAGGCCCCCTGGGCAGCCCTAACAGACTCCTGCTTTAGCAAAGCGGAGCCACTGCGTCTCATGTGGTCTCACGTTAGTGGGTACTGTGGCAGAGCCATAGAGCTAAGGTTTCTTCGTGTGGGGACATGAGCTGCTGTGCATGCGTGGGTCTTGTGGGTTGGACATGCGGTCCATGAGGCTCCGTGACCTTGAGCCCCACACCCCTATAGATCCCTGTGGGTCCCAGCATTGTCTGTTTCTCACAGAACTGATTTCCCAGGGCCCCCTCATATCCTAGGGCCTTAGAGCCTGAACTAAGTCTCAACGCAGTGATCTGGGTGGTCCACCCCTCCTGCTCACGACTAGGTGGGGTCGCCTCCCTGACAGTGACATGTTGGTTTGTGTGTCTGGTGGGCATGGCAGGTGGACCTGAATGAAGAGGAGACCATTCTGATCATCCGTCGTCTCCACAAAGTGCTGCGGCCCTTCCTCCTCCGGCGGCTCAAGAAGGAGGTGGAGGCCCAGTTGCCGGAAAAGGTAAGGGAAGAGCTGCAGGGCCTTCCTGCCTCGGCCTGGGCCCGGGCCTCAGCCCTCTGGAGTGGGCTCAGCTAGCAGGTGGGGACTCTCACCCAACCTGTGTGTGGACGGAGGGTCAAAAGCCTATACAGGTCTTGCCCAACTGTGTCAGGAGGAGCTGGCGGCTCAGGCCCACCAGGACAGCTCTGGGTTCTTGTGACTGCTGCCGTCTAGCCATCAGCCAGCCCCCACCGTGGCTGGCAGGGGCTGTCCCTCATTCCCTGGGCAGCACCTGGAGCCCCTGGCCACAGCCATGCCTTTAGTCCCTGCCCTGTTTCCTGGCAAGCCACCCTACCCAAGCTGCCTTTCTCTGCCCTGAGGACTTGTCCCAGCCCATCTCTCCTCGCTGTCCCTGGTGCCCCCATCAGAGTGTACACCCCAGGGTCATGGCCAGCTAGGAGCTAACCTGTGGTGATTTCAGCCCATTGACAGTGACCATCTGGTCCGTAGGTGGAATACGTCATCAAGTGTGACATGTCTGCGCTGCAGCGTGTCCTCTACCGGCACATGCAGGCCAAAGGGGTGCTCCTGACTGACGGATCTGAGAAAGATAAGAAGGTGCGTGTTCCTGGCACTTGGGTGGCTGTTGCCCTTTGGATTGAGACTCCCAAATAACCATGGCCACCAAGTTGGTTCCAACTCCCAGGACGTTACTGGACAGAGTAGACCTGCCCTCGGGTGTCCCCAGGCTGGGTCTGTGGGGAGCAGACCGCCGTGTCTTACCGCCAAGCACTTGTGGCCTTTCAGTTAGCACTCAGTTGCTTATCCACCAGGGCTCCTCGTTGGGATCCCAGGGACATTGTAACAGCTGTGGTTGTCAGCATATCTGGGTTGGCAGGGCCAGTGGGTGCAGCTGCAGAGCAGGCGTTAGTGACCCATTGGGGGCCCCTGTGGTCTCCCCAGACCCTTCGATTGAGCTGCTGTCTAGTAGCCTCTTGTTGACTTTTAAAACGCCACCTCTGGCAGGGGCTTGAGTCATGGTGAGAGTGGGTGTTAAAGGGAGCCCACCTTCCCTGCTGTGAACGAGCTGCCTCCACAGCGCTGCCCCTCAGCTCCTCTGTCTTCTTGTTATTAAGCTAGATTGGAGCAGGGCTTACAGTGGAGAGGATAGGGGGACAGGCAGGCTGCTGCCTTTGGGGGCTGGCTGCCCAGCACCCCTCTCACCAGAAGTGGGAGTGCTCTCCTTCTGGGAACCCCCGCAGCCCCTCCCTGAAGAATCCTAGCAGTGCATTTACTGGGTGGCCTCCAGGCCACTGCAACACCCTGCAGCCTTTGCCACGATGCTTGAGACACAGCTGGCACTTCCACGACTGTGGCCTGGCTTCAGCTCCTCCCCAGTCCTGTTTTTGTCCCACTGTCCCCCCCACTTGTGCCCCCCAAGATGAGCTCCGAGCTTTGGAGGTTCTCAACAGTCACCTCCTGTCACCTGATGGCTCTGCCACGGCAGCCCTTCCTCCCCGCCCCCATCCTGCTGCTTCCCTCCCTTCACCCCCCACTCCAAAGGACAAATCCTGACAGACCCTCTCTCCTGCCTCGGCAGGGCAAAGGGGGCACCAAGACCTTGATGAACACCATCATGCAGCTGCGGAAGATCTGCAACCACCCGTACATGTTCCAGCACATCGAGGTGAGGCAGCCACAGCCTGGCCTGCTGGGGCTCAGCTTCCCTGTCTCTCTGTTGATGCTCGCCCTGTGGTTAAGAACCTGGCCTGTCAGAAGCTCCCTCCCTTTCAGCCGGGCTCCCAAACAGAGGCTCCTGGGAGAAGTTTTCTCGCCCACTGGCTGGAGCTGAGTCAGCTTTTTGAGGCACTAGCTCCTCCCGCTACGTGGCATAGTGGGGTCCTGAGCCTGCGCACTGAGTGTAGCCCTGCCCCTTAGTGAAGCTTCTGCAAAGGACACCAGCATCCACACCTCTGGCTGAGATTGATCCCTGCCCAACTCAGAGGGGATGGTCTCCTCATGCAGACCTGCATTCATCTGAGGGTTGGAATTGCCCCTCATGACTCCCCTCGTTTACTGGGCGACCCCAAGGTAGTGGTCCTGCAGCAAGCTGGTGGTCAATGTCATGTGCTAGCCTGGGGTTTCCATCCTGTCAGCAGATGCGCCAGCTGTGTGGCCAAGGCCTGCCTCTGCCCCGGCGCTGACCCATCTCTCCTTTGTTGCAGGAGTCCTTTTCCGAGCACTTGGGCTTTACTGGAGGCATCGTCCAGGGGTGAGACATGGCCCCTCTGAGGGGAATAGGGGCGGTGGCGGTGTCTACGGTCATCAGCTGGCTTTGTTGTGCTGTTCGTGTTTATGTCACTAATGGTTAGGAAATACAGAAACTAAAAGAAGAGCTTAAAAATCCCCAATGGGGTTGAACCCACCTACCCCTCATAACTTGGAGAGGCAGAATTCCTGCGGCACCCTGGCCTCCGGGCCCCCAGCAGGGGGAGGAGGAGCTCTGCACATTAACGTGGACACCAGACAGCCTCGTCCCGCCCCCTTGAGGCTTCTCACAGCCTGTCTTGTTGAGTGCAGCCCAGGCCTCTTCCACCCAAACCCAAACCCACTGGCATCTAGTAGTTTCCGACTCATAGTGACGCTGTATGAAGTTCCCGAGACTCAATCTTCACCAGGGCAGACAGTCTCTTTTCCGCTTGAGGAGCCACTTGTGGGTTTGAATTTCCGACCTTGCAGTTAACGGTCCAATAGCACCCCCAGGCCTTGCTTGGGCCTCTGATGTTGGGTGGCTGCCCTCTAGATTGGCAGCCTTGTGTACAGCTTTGCTGGCAGCATTCTTTCCACTAAAGCCACGGCCTTTCCCCAGAGTCTCAGACCACTTCCAAGTTCAGAGTCTTTGAAAGAAAGGTTCTTCAGACGTGTTTGTTAATACTGCTCACGTGATGGCGTCCCAGACCTGGGCTCAAGTCACCAGTGCCACTCCATCTCCCGGCCTCCGAGGTGTCGACTGGAGAGGATGTTCGGTTGCAGTGGCCCTGCACTGACATGCGGGGGCGCCAGCGGCAGCCTTTGCTCCCCACAGGCTCCTTAATGAGGAGAGGACAGACCCTGCCCCTGCCCCTGCCCCTGCCCCTGCCCCTGCCCCGGCAGTTCCTCAGAGCTTCCTTCCTCTCACCCGGCCCTTACGGAATGGTCATTACGTGGCCCCGTGGAGAGGTGCGCTTGACTGGGGTGGCTCCTGCGGGGGGTTTGCATCGCTGAGGCTTCACGTGGATCTGCACAGAGCACCCCTTGTGGGCCACTGGTCCACCTGGAGACAATGGGGGGAGGCTGTGTGTGTGTGTGCGTGTGTGTGTCTGTCTCTGTCTCTGTGTCCATCTGTCCATCCCAAGACTAGGCTATAAAATTGTTCTCCCCACCCCTTCCTTCACCAGGTTGGACCTATACCGAGCCTCAGGGAAATTTGAGCTTCTGGATAGGATTCTTCCCAAACTGCGGGCGACCAACCACAAGGTGCTGCTGTTCTGTCAGATGACCTCCCTCATGACCATCATGGAGGACTACTTTGCATATCGAGGTTTCAAGTACCTCCGGCTCGATGGTGAGTGTGACCTGTGGCAGATTTGCGCGGGGGTGGGGGAGGGGTTGTCAGGGTGAGGCCCATGGACCCCCAGTACCCAGTGGGTGTGGGCATGGCTGCACACTGAGCACTGAAGGCTCTCAGCTGGAAGGGGCCCCCTAGAGGCACCGTGGCTAGTGCGGAGAGATGCCCATGGCCCAGGTGACTGGCAAAGCTCCAGTTGATGTAAGGACATCTACTTCCCACAGCTGGAATGAGGATTGTGCCTGCTTCAGGCACAGCTTTATCTAGGAGCACAATGATGGGGACTGGGGGAGGGGTTGGGGGGGCACAATGGTTCTCTTAGCTCTCAGCTCCTTTCTCTTTACATTGGTCCCATTTTAGATGTCCCTCCACATGTTTGGTGTCCTGGCAGAAAGACCACTGGTCTTTCCTGCTGAGGTCAGAGGCTGGCTGGCCAGTGTCAGCAGCCAGGAGCTGCAGTGGGGCTTAGCTGTACGTGCCCTGTGGGCATTGAGAGCCCCTGTGGAGCAGACTGGGAAGCAGAAGCTGCAGGGCGGACACAGAGGACCCCAGAGAGCTAGCTCCTCAGTCCAGGCTGTGCTCCGTGCTCCCTCAGGGAGTGTTGACCCCGTCTGTCTCCCTCTCCCCCGTAAATCAGGGCCCTGGAAAGGAAGGGACTGTGTGAGATGCCAAACAAATTGCTTTGAGCCCATGACTAGAGGCCCTTCTTTGCCTATGGGGGAGAATGTGCTAGGCTTCTAGAAAAATGAGCTTGGGAACTGCTGGGTCAATAAAGGTCAGCGGGTTGTTTTCTACCCACCTGTGGAAGGTGGCTGTGAGGACACTAACCACTAACCACGTGTCTCTGCCACAGATGTGAGCACCATAGAACCCTGTCTAACACCCCCCCACCCCCACCCACTAAGGCCTCCCACCCGGGCCTGGCCCCTTCCCTGCCCATGTTCCAGCTGCTTCACACCTTCTGTAGACACTGGGCCGCCAGTGTTCCCTTCCTCTGTCCCTGCCTCTCCCCTTGGAGGAGAGCTGGCATTTGGGAATGCGTGTCCTGCCCCCTACGCTGTTGTCTGTCTGCCTAGTTTTCCCTCTCTTCACTATGAGTGCGTGAGGACAGGGTCTGTTCGCAGTGATCCACCACAGCCCCAGAGCCTCATGTGGCAACTGGCCCACCTCCCAGGACAGAGTGCTGAGGAGTTGAGGGCCCCCTCTGGCTTCTCCCCCTCCGCAGTGGGCAGGTGAAGGAGCAGGCCCAGCTTCTGGGCTCAGTGGTAGAGCTGGCTATGGGGACAGCAGTGCTGACCCACCAGGTCCTGGGGTGAGTAGCACCTTGGAAGCCTTTGTCACTTAATCACTCACAGTAATTCCTACACTTGGTAGGGGCATTGTGGTCTGAGCTGACTGCTAGCCAGGTGCTCAGTTGTCCCTTTGGCAAGTGTCCCTGAAGGCCAGTCCCCCCCTCCCCCCAGCACACACCCCCTCAGAGTTTCTAGGTGTCAGACGAGCATCCACTATTCAGTGCTATGCATGGTCCTGTTGTGCCTGAGGAAGCGGCCTGCACTCATTTGAAGGTGGTCGTTTTTTTCTCACGGCGGCTCCTCACCTCCTTCGGGAGGGACGCTGAGCTCCACAGCCTCAGCCGCTGTCCCCGGGAACAGAGCTGGACAGACTTCGGGACACGTTTTCAGGAGAGTAGTGGCAGTAGCAGCAATGATGGATGGCCACTGTGTCCTGGGCATGAGTACCAGTGTCTCCTGGCCTGGAGCTCTGCTGTTCGGCCCCGAGTGCCAGGGAGGTGGGGTGGCCTACAATGTACAGTCAACCTGGCCATGCACCTGCCGGACTTCGGGCCCAGCCAGCATGTCTCCATGGCAGCGGAGTGTCTCCTCGCCACCATGGCAGTTCCAGGTCACGTACTGACTCCTCTCTCCCTGGGCACGGCAGGAACTACAAAGGCGGAGGACCGGGGCATGCTACTAAAGACCTTCAATGAGCCCGGCTCCGAGTACTTCATCTTCCTGCTCAGCACCCGGGCCGGGGGGCTGGGCCTGAACCTCCAGTCAGCCGACACTGTGATCATTTTCGACAGTGACTGGAACCCCCACCAGGTAAAGGCGGGCGCCCTGGGAGCAGCACTCAGTTTTCCACCCTTTCCAGAAGAACCTTGCAGTTCCTGAGAATCACGTGATCCATCAGCTGGTTACAGCCACCATGTGTTGGGGGCACAGCCCTCCAGGCCTGGTCTGTGTCCATACCCAAGTGCCCGCCCGCTGCTGCCTGTGTTACTGGCGGTGCCATGCTCAGGGCTCCACACCAGCTGGTTGAGGACAGGCTGCTTTAGCTCACTGGCCCTCCTTCCGTAGCTTTGCTATTGCTAAGGTGATTCCTAACCGAAAAAACGAATAGGACTGTCCCACTGATTTCCAAGCTCACCTTTCCTGAAGCCGGCGGCCAGAGCTATCTCCCAGGAAGTCTTCAGTGGACAGCCGAGCGCTTAGCCCTGGTACCACCATGCTCCTCGTTGTCGTGACCGTTTTTAAGGGAGCAGTTAACTTCCCTTCTGTTTTGTTACAAAAGGATGTCTTCTTTATTGTTGTTGTTGTGATGATTTGAGTGAAAGCTCACAGAGCCCATCTGTTTGCCATTCAGTGGTTCACACACATTTTGTTTCCAGCTGTTGGGTTATCATCCCTGTATGTGACATCACTCTTCACACTTCCTCCCTGTCTCTCACAAGTTCATTCCTCCTCCTGTCCTAACCCGTCCTGCCTTCTGAATTTGATCTTGGCCAGTGGCTGCCCCGTCAGTCTCAGGGTGGATCTGTTGCAGGTGTGTGGACCTCCCCAGTATTTTCCCCCTACAGACATCTCTGTGTTTGGCTAGAAGCTGTTCCTTGGCTTGAGTTTAATTCCAGACCCGAAGGCTGGTAACGGGCCTTGTCTCCAGGGCTCTCTCGATCCCTTTCCAAAGGAATCTTTTTTAACAGTGGTCATAGCAGTATAGCTGAAAGAAGGTCCCGAGTCCCGGTCTCACCTGGGTGTCTGTCTGCGTGTGCACACGGGGCTCTGTGTTCCACACAAGCGCGGCTCCTCCCCCCACTTCCTTTCTCTCTGGCCCCAGGCCTGGCATCAGCTGTGAACTGTCCCCTGACATTAGGAGTGCCCCATTGACAGCTGACTGGGCATCCCCAGTAGTGACTCCCTGCCCCTGAGGCGGATGCCAGGTTGATAGCTGGCACACTTGAGCAAGGATTCTGACAGGTCTCCTGACCTGGGTCCTTTTGACGTCGTTTCCTTAGTTTTTACACATGGAAACATACCCAACCCCACACTAGCTGGCCCAGCGTTGACGTGTGCAACCCTCCTCCAGGCAGTGCACCTTTCTTTTACTCTCTTTCCAGACCCTCCCACCCCTGTCCACAGTAACTCGAGCCCACGGGCTTGAATTGACCCCAGTGCCCGGTGACCCTCTAGGACAGAGCAGCACTGCCACAGCTGTTTGCCACTGAGCTGCTGGCTGGAATCCAGCCGCTGACCTTGTGCTTCACGACCAAGCGCTAGAACCACGGCACCGCCAGTGCGCGTTGCTCCCCCAAACCAGGTCACCCCATCTCCTTCCCACCTATAGCGTTTGCTTTCTACATGGTTGCCTCTTACATGTGAGTGAGGTCATGTGCTGTTGGCTGTGCAACTGACCAGTGTCATTCAGCACAGGGCTCAGCACATGCTGACGTGCATCCAGCCCGCGTTTCCCTACAGCTCCACTGAGCCCGGCGCGTGTGTTGGCTCCATTGTGCTTGTCCTTCGTGTGCTGGGACTTGCTGACTTCTGGCAGCCATGTGCGTGTTTCTGCTGGTTTCTGCCTTCACTTGGCATTGCTGGTTGTCTGGTGGTTCTGTGGTCAACTTTGGGAGGCCAGGGAGGCCTCAGAGGATGTCCAAGTTTGTCTCCCCAGGGTGAGGGACCTAGCTTGGCCAGCATCAGTGCTCAGCACAGGCTTGGACCCTTGCCCAGATCTGTCTCCTTACCCTGCTCCTTGACTAGGGCAGTGATGGGGGAGGCTGCCCTTCCCACCCCAAGGCACGCCTGCATCCACCAGAGCCTGCCTTTGCGTCCCCTTTGGGCAGGACCTCAAGTTCAGAATTCTGTTGGAGCCTAGGTTCGATGTTGGGGTGGGGTCCGTTGTGTGCTGCAGGTGGTGATGGCCGTGGCACCAGTAGCCATGGCCCCCTGCGGCAAGAGCCCCATGTACGCTGCACCTACTACTGGACTGGGTCCTCAAAGGCCAGTGCAGTTTCATGAGCATAGTGGTCGCGCGGGAGGGGGCTGGTCCTGTCCCCAGAGTGAGTCCCAGGGCTCAAAGGGGAGTGAAGCGGTGGTGTCTGGCGGGGGGCTGTGCTATGGCCCCATGCTGCTATAATGGGCACTGCTGCCGTTTCTCCCAGCGTATCTGTCTGCTCCCAGTAAGGGGCAGAGACACCCTCTTGAAGGAAAGCTTAGAGCCCTGTGGGCAGATGCAGGCACAGGCTCCAGGTTGTACCCGAAACAGCAGCCCCTCCGAGAGCATCTTGCAGTGGCTGGCTGGGGTAAACGGAGGCTCCACTGAGATCTGGGCTTCCTCCTGGCCCCAGAAGGGCTAGACTGGGGGGTCAGACAGCAAAGACTGACAGCTGCGTCCTCCCGCAGGACCTGCAGGCACAGGACCGCGCGCACCGCATCGGGCAGCAGAACGAGGTGCGCGTGCTCCGCCTTTGCACAGTCAACAGTGTGGAGGAGAAGATCCTGGCCGCCGCCAAGTACAAGCTCAACGTGGACCAGAAGGTGATCCAGGCCGGCATGTTCGACCAGAAGTCCTCGAGCCATGAGCGGCGGGCCTTCCTGCAGGCCATCCTGGAGCACGAGGAGCAGGACGAGGTGAGGGCCGCCCCGGCCCCCTCCCCGGCGTGAGTGGTGGATGCATGAGCGAGCGGCTTTCATTTTTGTTTTTGTACCTTTTTTGCACTCTTATTTTTTTCTTTTTTCATCCCTTTGGAGTAAAGGGAGTGTGGGCTGAACGGATCGAGGATGAGTACTTGTTTTTTCTTTGAAGTGGCTTTTTTTTTTCCTGACCTGCTGGTGAAAGATGCCGGATTGACAGCCCTGGAGACTGAAGTCCTCTATTTATCCACAGAGCAGACACTGCAGCACGGGCAGCGGCAGTGCCAGCTTCGCCCACACTGCCCCTCCGCCAGCGGGCGTCAACCCCGACCTGGAGGAGCCACCTCTAAAGGTGAGAGGGTAGTGCAGTCTCCATATGCCCATTCAATCCTCGGCTTCTCGGCCCACGGAGCGTGCGTGTGCGTGTGCGTGTGTGCTCTCGCTGCCCAGGTCCCCCCCGCCGCAGCCCGGCCGGGACCGCAGCCTCCCTTCCCACGGACGCCGATGCTCGCCACCGAGCTCGGCCACCGCCCACCCCGGCACCCCACAGTCAAATTAAACGTCTGACGTCTTGTAGGAAGAAGACGAAGTGCCCGATGACGAAACCGTCAACCAAATGATTGCCCGGCACGAAGAGGAGTTTGACCTGTTTATGGTAAGTGTGGCGGCCTTCTGTGCATGGGGCCTTCCAGGCTTCGGGTGTCCACCTGCCTGTGTCGGGGCTGACGGTCCCTCCAAACACATGCACCCTTCTAACTGGGAAGGTGCAACGCACAGTCTCCTTTTGGTGGTGTGACCCTTAGGCTGCCAGAACCGCCGACTGCCCATCCTCCCTTTCAGAGGGACTCAGGGCTGCCGCAGACCAAGGTGCTGCCAAGCGAGGGCCCTGCATACACACCAGCTCCCTGCCCCTGTCCAGGTGTGAAATTGGGACTGAGGTCTGGCACCCTGCCCCTCCCTGCACTCATACCAGCTCCCTGCCCCTGTCCAGGTGTGAAATTGGGACCGAGGTCTGGTACCCTGCCCCTCCCTGCACTCACACCAGCTCCCTGCCTCTGTCCACATGTGAAACTGGGACCGAGGTCTGGCACACTGCCCCTCCCTGCACTCACACCGGCTCCTTGCCCCATCGAGGTGTGAAACTGGGACCGAGGTCTGGCACACTGCCCCTCCCTGCACTCTCACCGGCTCCTTGCCCCGTCCGAGGTGTGAAACTGAGACCGAGGTTGGGCACACTGCCCCTCCCTGCACACACACACCGGCTCCTTGCCTCTGTTCAGGTGTGAAATTGGGACTGAGGTTGGACACACTGTCCCTCCCTGCACACACACACCGGCTCCTTGCCTCTGTCCAGGTATGAAATTGGGACTGAGGTTGGACACACTACCCCTCCCTGCGCACACACCGGCTCCTTGTCCCGTCCAGGTGGGAAACTGGGACCGAGGTTGGGCACACTGCCCCTCCCTGCTCTCCCCGCCGGGTGGGCAGCCCCTCCTGTGTGACCTCGCGGCTCTCCCACTCACTTCAGCCTAGGGAGCAGCACTCTCCCCACACCCCTGTCTGAGGGAGGCTGGCAGACAGCCAGGTCAGCCACCTTGGGAGCACAGGCTGCTGTTTACCTGGTGTGGCAGCGTGGTCCCCGCAGGTGGAAAGTGTGTCTCGTCCCCACCCGTGCCCCCTGGCTCGGCCTCATGTTAACGTTGCGCCCCTCTGCCCTCGCCCGCTCGTGCCCGTCTAGCGCATGGACCTGGACCGCAGGCGCGAGGAGGCCCGCAACCCTAAGCGGAAGCCGCGCCTGATGGAGGAGGACGAGCTGCCCTCGTGGATCATCAAGGACGATGCCGAGGTGGAGCGGCTGACCTGTGAGGAGGAGGAGGAGAAGATGTTTGGCCGTGGCTCCCGCCACCGCAAGGAGGTGGACTACAGTGACTCTCTGACGGAGAAGCAGTGGCTCAAGGTACCAGGAGGGCTCTGCAGCTGCGGGGGTGGGGGGGGCGCTTCTTTGGTGTCTTCACGCAGTGCCGTGCTGGAGTGTGTCAGTGAGAGAAGTGATCCTTCATTCAGTCTCTGTGTTGGGGTCAAGGAACCCTTCTGGGAGGGCCACCTCATTCCCCAGTGTCCCTCCCTCCAGGAGTGAGCTCCCTGCCCAGCCTTACAGCAGGACACATGGGGTTGTGTACCCTTGTCCAGAGAGCTGTCCAGGGAGGCCTCTGCTTCACACACCGACAAGCGTGCAATTGGCAAACAAGTTACTTAGAATTTCCACAATAAGTAAAAGTTTACAATTTTAGTCAAAAGCAAACCCAACCCTGACGTTTTTATAAAATGCCTTAAAGCAACATATCCTATTCAGTGCCACCCCAGGAATAGGCGAGCTGTAGCTAGTCTCTGTTGCCCTGCCGGGAGTTCCCCTCAGCTAACTGCAGGCCCCTGGACTGCCCAGTGTCCCTCCCTGATGCTCCAGTACTCCAGGCTTGTGAGCTCATGCTACTGAGCTGTGCACAAGCACGCCTGGGAGCCAAACTCAGGCCAGCGCACTCAGTGCCCCAGTCCTCAGCCTGCTTGAGCCAAACACACGAGGGACAGAGAAAAGGGCCTGGCAAAGGGACACAGCCTGCGGCACCCATTGGAGCAGCTTGCTCTGCATCCCAGGCAGTGGGTGCCTGTTAACACAAAGGTACCTGCAGCAGAGGCTGGCTGCACTGGCCATGTTTTCTAGCAGCTTTACACACACCACGGGCACACATGGCATGTGTGCGCGTGCACGCACAGCAAACCCACAGTGTTCAGGCAGCACTGTAGGACAGAGTAGAACTGCCCCAATGTGGTTCCAAGACTACTGTTTCTCCCTCGGAGTGGCTGGTGGTGTTGAGCTGTCTACCTTTAGGTGCTCGACCCACAGGGTCACCAGTTTTATTATTGCGCTGCCATTTGCACACCATATAATTCACCTTTTTATTTTTTTATGATTCATCTTTTTAATGTGAGCCATTCAGTGGCCATTATTGTATTGGATGGAGTTGTAGAGCATTTCTTCAACCCTAACAGGGCCCTATTTCCTGGGGCCTCCCTCCCCCACCCACCCCCAAGCCCTGAACCTCTGGTGTTGTCTGAGAATCATCCAGTTGATTCTGACTCATCGATCCACAGAGGAGAGCTGTTCCCGAGGGGCTCCTCTCAAAAACCCGCTGCTGTAGATTCATTTCTGAGTCACCGCGACCCTGCAGGACAGGAGAGAGCTGCCCCTGTGGGTCTTTGAGACTGACTTTACTGGCATAGAAGACCTATCTTTCTCCTGCTGAGTGGCTGGTGATTTCAGACTGCTGACCGCTGCATCGCCACAGCTCCTACATGACTTCTGGGCTGTCAGTTTACGGAAGCAAAGAGCCAGGTTGTTTCTCCTCTCTCCCTGGTTCCATCTCGCCTGGGCCTTCATTCCTCGAGGGTGGGGCCTCTGAGACTGGCTCCTTTAAGTCACCTTCAGGCTCATGGTGCCTCCAGTTTCCACCCCAAACCAGCTTGCTGTGACCTTCAGTCCACAGAAAGACGGTCCAGCCTCCTGTCAGTCCATTATGGACATCTGGCTTCTTTCCACTTTGGGGCCATGACAGGTCCTGCTGCTCCGAGCATGCGTGTCCATACTCTGTGCTGACACGTTTTTACTTCTCTCGGGCAGAGGTCTGGGAGTGGGACGGCCACGTCTTGTCCATTCCCACCAATAACCTCTAGTTTCTCCGCCTCGCCCACACTCACCATCGGTCTTCTGCATTATGGACACATTAGTGGGCCGGAGAAGCAGCCCTGGTGCTGCAGGGGTGCAGTGCTCCAGCGGTCTAGCAAGGGTTGGCAGGGGTCCCATCAGCCCTCCGTGGCAGTCTGCTTCTGTAAGGACAGCAGTCTCAAGAACTCTAGGGGGCAGCTCTGCTCTGCCCTTGACAGCCCCTCGGGATAGGATTGCCTTAACCACAGGCAGGCCTGCCGGCTGGAACAGTTCCTCATTTAACTCGGATCTGTGTTTCCCTGATAACGGAAGACCTTGCACATCCTTCTACATGCTTATGGGCCATTCGACCGTCTTTCGGGAAATGTCTCCTCAGATTTTTAATGGGTTAGAACTGCCTTTATTGTTGAGTTGCAAGAGTTCTTTCTAAATCACCCTGTTTGGATGTGTGACTTGCAGATATTTATTTACCTGTGTGTTCTGTTTTGTGGAGAAAGGTGAGGCATGCACTTCTGTAAAGAATTAGTTTCAGTCACTGTGAGTCAGAAACGACTTGATAGTGGTGAGTTTGGGGGATTTTCCGCCCGTCCACTTGCTTGATGGTGTCCTTTGGAGCTCAGCTCTTGTGAGTGTTGCTGTTCAGTGTCTCTAGTTTTGTCGTTTGTGCTTTCTATATCATAGCTAAGAATGTGTTGCCAAGCTCAAGGTCACGAGGATTTGCTCCTATGCTTCCTTTCTCAAAGACTTTTGTAACTTGAGCCTCTCATACCCATCTGACCCATCTTGGGTTCCGTTTTGGTACTGTATGAGCGACAAGTCCGACGTTATGCTTCGCCTGTGACAGACTGCGAAACACACACCCAGAGCCCTTTAACAGGCGGCAGTACCCACTGCACTGGTTTGAGGAAGCCCCTCTGGGGCCACTCATCCCAACACATCTGAGTGCTGCTCATCATTGCTCATCTACGGTGACCTGGGGGTTCCGGCACCCCAAGTTCCTTTTCTTAAAGCTGCTATGACAAATGTCCAGAGGCTCAGTGACTCAAACTGCAGGACTGTCTTCTCCCAAAGATCCCGGTTCCCATGAGGCTCTAAGGCAGTGGTTCTCAACCTTCCCAAGGCCGCGACCCTCTAATAGAGTTCCTCATGTGGTGGTGACCCCCCCAACCATAAAATTATTTTCATTGCTATTTCATAGTTAATTTTGCTACTATTAATGAGTCGAGCACCCCTGTGAAAGGGTTGTTCAACCTCCAAAGGGGTCGCGACCCATAGGTTGAGAACCACTCCTCTAGGGAGAAGCTTTTGTCGGGCTGTATCGAAGCTCCTGGTGCCCCTAATTCCAGGCTGAACCTACCCCTTGGCATGGCCTCCTTCTTCCCTGCACCTGACTGGAGCCTGGCCGGCCAGCTAACCCCAACATAACCTTGTCTCTGTCCGTAACATAGCACCTTCACAAAACAACAGCACATTCGGAGATCCAGGCAGGAATTAATTTGGGGGACACTGCTCATCCCCTGAAGAAGTCCAGGGGGCCTAATGAGGCATGCATTGGGCTGCTAACCACAAGGTCAGCAGTTCAAACCCACTAGCCATTCTCGGTGGGAAAAAGATGAGACATCTTTTCTCATAAAGATTCCCAGCTTGGAAACCCCTGGGGACAGTTCTGCTCAGCCCTGCTGGGTCGCTATGATTTGGAGTCAACTGAAAGGCCCTGAGTTTGGGGTTTGAGTTTCATTTACCCACTGTACCCCCATGCCTGCCCCTCTCCCTCCAGGGTGGTATTGGTACCTAGATCTCTGCCCCCAAAGTGCCATCGGCCCGAGCACGTCTCCTCCCCCACATGCAGGGAATCCCTTGTGCCCCTTTCTGGTACACATCATCATGCTTGGGCAGTCTTTCTCGCTGCTGCCTCCTGGGCCCACCTCAGTGCCAGCGCTCATCTGGCCCTCTGGGTCCAGGCCCCACGCCCCCTCTTTTGAGGCCCAGCTCCTAGGGAGCCCAGGCACTCAAGACTTCCTCTTCAGGGAGAAACCCTGCACGTACATACGTACGTTCTCCTTCGCCAGGGGAACGGCCTGCGTTGGGCTTTTTTTTGCCCACAGTCGTCCATAGATTGTCTCTGAGCTCAGCAGTTTACGTCTTAGACTATCTTAAAGTCACATACTAATCATGGTTTTGCTTAGAATTGGGAGGGGTGGGGGGTGGGGGGGTGGATACTACTCAATGCCCTGGAACAGGGGGCACTGTGCAGTGACAGTAAGAATGACATATAGAGAAGTGACAGGCAAAAAGTCACAATACAGGGACCAGGGAAATGCGTTCCCAGGGGGTCTCTGAGGCTTGAAAGTCCCAGTTTTTCTTTGTGTGCCCAGAGCAGAGCAAAGGTTCTTCTCTGGAGCAGGGGCACAGCACTGTGCCTCTGTCTTTAAGGCCAGGCGTGGTGGGTACCTGCTGGTGAGGCCGGGCTAGCACTGCTTGACACTGGTGCCCTGCTGTCACTGCCTGAGTGACCATTGGCCCCAAACTGGAGGGACTGTCGAAGCAGCCTGTGCCGCCCACCCCCACCCTCTGCGGGCCCGGGGCAGGGCTGCGGTGTGGCGTCCTCCTCTTGTGGATACGGGTGCTGGCTGTCCTATTTTGCTACTATTGACCCTGAAGGCCATCGAGGAGGGCACGCTGGAGGAGATTGAAGAGGAGGTCCGGCAGAAGAAATCGTCGCGAAAACGCAAAAGGGACAGTGACGCCGGCTCCTCCACACCGACCACCAGCACCCGCAGCCGAGACAAGGATGACGAGAGCAAGAAGCAGAAGAAGCGCGGACGACCTCCCGCCGAGAAGCTCTCCCCGAACCCTCCCAACCTCACTAAGAAGATGAAGAAGATCGTGGATGCCGTGATCAAGTACAAGGACAGGTAAGTGGAGGCGCTGGCTGGGAGGGCGCTGTTGGCAGGTGTTTGGGGGCCTCTCAGCGGGGGGACGGGCCGAGCACTGTATGCAGGGACAGCCTGAGGAAAGAGGTCTGGGGAGCGTGTCTTTGGCAGAGGTAGCCCAAGTGGAAAGGTCCTGGAAAAACAGGTGGTTTAGTAAGAAGCATCCAGGCAGCAGGTGGCAGGAACTGATGGGACCACACCAGGGGGGCTGTGTGTCTAGAGCAGAGCACAACGGCTTTTTGTTCTAGCCCTCTCCCCCCTGCTGCCTCCATGCTCAGTGTGACCCGAGCGTCACCCAGAACCCTGCTCTCTGCGGAGCCCCACTTCAGATAGCAAGATCCCTGCCCTCGCAGGGCCCAGTGTGGCCACAGCCGGGGGTGGGTCCTGGCGTCTCGAGTGGATGGAACCCTATTTTGACAGGAAAAGCAGGCAGGAACTCTTCTGCAGCTTCCAGGAGGCCCATGTGCAGTCCCCTTTGCCAGGCAAGTGTGCGGGTCACCAGGGCATTGAGGGCACTATGCCCACACCAGACCCAGGATTCGGCTTCTTTCCCCAGTAGCTTGTATTTCTTTTCTAGAATGTTGTGGGCCTTCCTTGTAGAGCCTGATTTTATAGTAATGATTTGAAGCACAGGGTGGGTGGAAGAATCTTATTTGTTGGCAGGGGTGGATGTTTAGGGATGAGCCCTCAGTTTGGGTCCTTTGGAAAGATTTTTTTTTAAAGCAGTTTATTGGAGACTTACATATATTATAACAAACCCTACATCTCTTATCTTAAGCGGACATGTACAATTATTGGCTTCAACAACTTCAAACATTATCTTTCTTCGTGATCCCTTTGATAGCATCTTTTTTGTCCCCTTCCTCACGCTGCCACCCCTGCGAATCTTTAATATATTATGTATTACGGTTGTTGTTTATACATAACTTACTCACTTACTGTCCTGGTGTTCCTCCACCGACGGGGGTTATCTGCCATCATTGCTCTCCATCCCTTGTCTTCCTGGAAACATTGCTCCCCTTACTGTGTCTGAGGGAGTTTGTCTTAACTGAATTCTTTACATTGAAAGCTCTCATCTGTGCCAGGATCGCGAGGTAGGATAGATAACAGTGGGGGAGGAAGGATTGGAGAACTAGTGGAGTGTCGTGTATCTCATCGGTGCTAAACTGCCCCTGAGTGCATTTTCTCCTCTGTGCAGCCCCTCAGCGCGGGGATGTCCCAGTTATCCCCGGATGGGCTTTGGTCTCCATCACCTCAATGAGGTGGTTTACTTTTTGAATTAAGATGTCTGTTCCTATCAACACCTCACGATCACACAGGCTGGTGCGCTTCTTCCATGTGGGCTTTGTTGCTTCCCTGCCAGATGACTGCTTATTTGGCGTCAAGATTTTAAGACCCCAGGCACTATATCTTCTAGTAACCGGATATCATTTGCTTTCTTCGCCATATTTATTTATGCATCCAGTTTGTCTTCAGTGATCGTGTTGAGGTGGTGGGCAGCGCCCACTGCCACATTATTATAACAGAGTGCTCTGTGTTGAGGGAATACTTAGTAAGTAGAGGCTCAGAGTCCATCTACTGCCTCAATATATTGCCATATAAATATATGTACCTAGGCCAATACCCCTACTCTTATATATTAATATACTTACATATGTATATTCTATGTTTGTACCTCTATAGTTTTGCTTTGTAGTTCTTTCCTCAATTTCCTTTTACCTTCCTCCTGTGAAGCAAATTCCACAAATAAAAAATAAGTAAAAGACCAGCAGTTATTTAAAATGTGGCATTATGAAATATGCAAAACCCCGTGAACGTAACAGACCCCAGTTTAGTTCTGCTCTTGTGGGGAGAATGGAAGAATGACTTAAAATTCAGGAGCCCTGGTGACCCGGTGGTTCAAGTGCTCGTCCACCAATGGAAAGGTCGGCGGCTTAAGCCCACCGCCTGCGGTGCTGCCGTGAGCCGTGGTCATGAGCTCTCACACAAGCTCACCGCCTCAGAAACCTGCCCCGTTGGGTCGACACAGACAGCATCAACTGGACAGCAATGGGTCTTCCTGGCCAGCCATGACCCCAGCTTCTCACCATACTTAAACATTCACTTAACATGGATCACAGGCATCAACATGAAAGGTAAAGCCATCCTAGAACCATGTTTCCTAAAGGGGGCGATGCCAACACCATCACCCCCCGCCCCACCCCCACTCTCGCAAGCTTCACGGGAATGATCCAGAAGTCCTGCAAAAGTACATATCTACCCGCCCTTCATCTTGGATCATGTTCAAACATTTTTAGTTGTTGGGTGTACTGAGGGAAAATAAGTTTGGCAGCCCATGTTCTTGAGCAGCGGTTCTCAACCTGTAGGTCTCGGCCCCTTTGGGGGTCCGACCGTCCTCTCACAGGGGTCGCTGGACTCATCACAGTAGTAAAACCACAGTGATGAAGTAGCAACGAAAATACTTTTATGTTTGGGGGTCACCGCATGAACTGTATGAAAGGGTCGCGGCGTGAGGAAGGTAGAAGAGAATCCCCATGACCCTAAGAGCAGCACAGAACCGCTCCCCGGGGGCTGCCGACCGACGACTCCGCGTGTGTCGAGGGGCACTCCATGGTGTCTGCAGCGGGGGTTTCAGGAGTAGATGGCTGGGCTTTGGCTGTGCTGTCCTCCGTCTGTCTGCTTGGAGAGTCACATTCTCAGTCAAGTGGGCCAGCTGGAAACGTGTGCCTGGAAAGCCCCGAGTCCCTCACACCTCCCATGAGACTCAGACTGCCACCCATTGGGGAGCCCTCAGACTCTCTTACCTGCCTGCCCCACCCCGGGACGGGACCAGGAGATACTGAAATTGAAAACCTGTGTTCAAGGACACATCATTGAGACTATGAAGCCCATGAAAAGACCAACCTAATGTAAAAACGGGCACAAGGTCCAACTGCACGGACACTTGACTGCAGAGCATTTCCAGGGGAGCGCTCAGCATGTGGCGAGGTGCTCAGTGGCACTTTACTGGCACCAGAACCTCTAGGAAATGCGCAGGAAAGCCAGTGCAGGGCACCTCCACTGCTCGCCACCCTGGCTCCAGCTGCCCTCCCCTCCCACACCGCTGGGGGGGAGGGTGGGGAGGCCACACCTCTGACGAATGCCCTGTAGCCCTAGAGAACTGAGGGCCCGCGCCACCAGCGTCCAGATGTCTTTATTCATAATAACCTACATGGAAGCTGACCGCCCACAGGAGAACCCAGAACCACTGTTGAGTGAAGGAGCCAGACACTGGAGAGGACCTGCTGTGTGCTCCCAGTGTGAGACAGCCACAACTTGCTTTGTGGTGGTGGACACTGGGAAATAGGGCGTTGACCATGAAGGGGCACAAGAGAGCCTCGGAGTGCAGGAAGGTTCTCTGTCTAGGTCTGAGTGGTGGGTACGTAAAGCACTCACCAAGGTGTACGGTTAAAGTGTGTGCATGCATGTTCCCATTGTGCTGCGATCCCCAAGGTCAACAATTTGAAACCACCAGCCAGCGGCTCCACAGGAGAAAGACGGGTTTCTTGTTTGTTTGTTTGTTTGTTTGTTTGTTTTCGGGAACCCACTAAGGGCCAGGGGAGTTGGGGGGGGGTGCGCCCCACTATGAGTTGACATCAAATCGAAGCAGTGACTTTGTTTTGTTTGGTGCCTTGGGTGGATTGGTGGTGTTTTTAGAATGATTGGACCCGGCATGCTGATCTGGCCATTGAGGCCGTGAGTGTTCTCGAAGGAGAAACATAAGTCAGGAGCCAGTGCATTTTCTTAGTCCTTCTATGGCTTGTTGGAGAAGCCTTGTCCGTCATCGTAGCATGTGGCAAAAGAGAATGGCTCCCGCAGTGGGCAAACCGGTCTTCCAGCCTGAGACATTTGAACCAGTTATTGAGGTTCAGGGCCCACCTTATTGAGACAGTTAGATACCTCTAGGGATTTGGGGGCAGGCCTTGCACGAGACCAGCGATCTCAGCCCTAGGACTGTACATGTAGCATGTGTCACACGAGAGCTCAGGGCCCCTCCATGGACAACCTCCTCCAATCCTACTGGAAGTGATCCGAGGAACCCCAGGTGGCAAAGCAGGAACCATGCTAACCGTAGTTATTACAGGAAGCCACCCACGTGACTCAGAGACGCATCCTGTTGGAGATGGAGGCTGGGCGTGCCACCCCCCAGAACCTGCATGGGTGCCCTCAGCAGGCTGGGCAGGGCCCAGACACTCAAGAAGACAGTCATCTTTTTCTGGATGAAAAGCTACCTCATTTGTGAGATAACTCCCAAAGATAACACCAGAACATAAACGTGAAATATTTTAACCAGAAGGCTTTTATCTTCTTAAATGTGACCCTATAAGCTGAAACCTAGACACGGTTCAGTCTCTTGGGAAACAGCTCCTAAGACGACAGTCTCTCTGGCTTCTGAGCGAACTGTATAGTTCAGACTTCCCGCCCCTCGTGGGCCTTCTGCTTCTTCATCTGAGGGACCCACGGCACTTCTGCTCTGAGCGCTCTTGCTGCAGCCCTTGGGGAGAGGGCACAGATGGACATCAGCCCAGGGCAGAGCCCAGGAAAGGCCCCTTCCACCCCGTGTCTCTCCCCATGAAGCCAGGCACAGGACTAACTTCGGTGGCAGAGATGTGAGATGGTGCAGCGTGCTGCCAGCCGTGGAAGCTCACCTCTGCCTGGTGGCTAGATTTCCCATCAGGCATGTAGACATGGATGCCCACGGGCTAGCTTAAGTGCCCCCTCTCCAGAGGCTGTTCTGATACCACATTCTTCAAATCCCAGTGGTGGCCTGCCTGAGGTCCCCAGACAGACCAACATACTTATCAAGCAGACCATTCCAAGGGAATGGGGCCCTGCCTGCAGGAGCTGAGGGCAGACACTGGTCAGCCTCAGGGGAGGCCTCTGGGCATCTGGCTGCCGCCCTTCCTCACCACCTGACCACCCCACATGGCAGGAAACACAGG